GGAAATTGTCTTTGGATAACACTGGCTCCCTTGCCCAAGAAACCAGCTTCCTAGAGTTGGACATGACTGACAGGGTAACCTTTATGTTTTTTATTTAAAAAACAAAAACAAATGATATTATAGCCAACCCATTTACCTTTTCCTATTGTCACAATTCCTCTGATTGTTTCCCAGTGGCTCCTTTTGGCACTTGTTTTATCTCTGATCTTATTCATGGTTCTTTCAAGTTCCTGTGGGATACATCAAAAGCCATTACAAAACTTTTTAACACATTTTTAAACTAAGACATTGACTATTTCCTAACAAAAGAATAAATGCAATTGTGAAAAACAATTACAATTTAAAATGTCATGCTTCATATTTGTAGCTACTTGAAATAAGTACAAAAATGTCTCATTATTTCAAAAAAAGTGAATGCTTTTGAATGTACTTAACCATGTATACCTTCAGATTTGTAAGCATGCATATTTGATTATTCAGCTCTGTACCATATCCTGCAGATACCTGTTCCTGTCCAAATGTCATCGCAATTACAAATACATTTTTCAGGATTGGTATGTATAAATTGATGCTTTTGTATATTCCTAACAATATATGCATATACACTCATACATTGATATTTCTGCGCCAAAAAAGCATTATTTTTATGACCTTATTCCTTAGAGTCAAGGTGACTGGAATAGAGCTGAGGTCAGATGTCTTTCCTAAAACCTATGTGCATATCTTATTCGTTCTCTGAATTCTCTAAACTTTCCTGAGAAAGATCTGCTGCTAGCTAGGATTGAACTTTCAATCTTCAGAGTGGAAGCAAATGTCTTCACCACTAGGTTACCACACCATCGGGGAAAAAGGCATCATAATACCTCTTTATTCAGTCTTCTTTCTGCCTGAGACCCAGAATTTGGAAGGAAATGTGAGGAAGAGAACTTGTTTCTTCTTTTGTAGGAAAATACAGGTTTTTGTGTTACAAGAAATACAATGTGTTCTTTTTTTCCTGTTCTTTCTTCTTCTTCTGTCTGATTGACAATTTCCATTGAAATTTCAGTATTGAAAAAGTCCAAAGCTGCTGCACCAATGATTCCTAAATCCAAAGAGAAAGAAAGAAAAATCCAGGTAATATTACACATGTTTATGCAATATTATCTTTAGCATATCTACTCAAGCACTCAAGCAATGTTTGTTTCCTTATACAGTGAGTCTGTCAACAACCACAATCTCAATTGTCAGCCTTAATAAAGAGTCTTAATTTTATTTCAAACAAATATAAGTTTTATAAGTTGAAATCTCATACAGCTCTGGTGCTCATTAGGTTACTTTGGTTCAACCTCTATCCCTCAGACTGGTGGTAGTTGAATAAAATTGGAGTGGAAATCGTGAACTCAGAAAAATGGGGGGAAATGTAATATTTTTAAAAATATTCATTAATTCATTAATTATTTGGCTGTTGTTGTTGTTATCTTCATCTGCCCTTCAACATTTTTCCAGGGCAAACATTATAGAATAAAATTCTAAGGAAATAAAAAATTGAAAATATATTTTATTGAAAATACAATAAAATAAAAGCTGCTATAGATTACCAGCAATAAATGTTTTATCTAGTGTCATGTTGTTTCCATACAAACTTCCCAAAGGAGAGAATTGTTCAATAGAGGATGAAGATGGTTAATGCCACCATCATCATCTTATGTTAAACAGATCTGATGATCTACATTTCAAAGCCCATATTAAACACATGCACATATATCCACTTACCTGGAACTATGTGGCATAAGCCTCTTCTGTCTGAATAATAATGTAAATACATTGACCCATCTTCATTCTTTTCTACCCTAAAGGAAGGAGCGTTCATCTTCTGAAAAACACTCAAAAAGAATAATATTAGACTTGCTGCAGAGAAAGGTATAGAGATATAAAGAAGTGGTTTCTGATATTCTTCAGAGAAATTATAAGTACAATTCTATTTTAAACTCTCTCTTTAAAGTTACATCATGACTCTCTTCTTTCTGTAATATATCATGTCTAATGATCAAAACCATAAATCAAGTTTTGTTTTTGTTTTTTCATTTTTACAGTACACAAAATGTCCATAAGGGATTTCCAAACACTATAAAATATAGAAATTGTCCTTTTTAATAATAAAAGCAATCAATTTGTTCATCTTAGCAAGTTTTGCCAATTCATCAACCATTCCTCCATGGTCCACATGCATATTTTAATAACTGATATCATCATAAAAGACATGTTGCAATTGTTGCTCATTTTAAGGCATCAGAAATCTGCTCCTTGATACTCATAGCCGTATGAAAACATTACAGCATCTTTCTACATTTCTATCATATTTATAATATATCAGATTAATTTTCATTTCATCTAATCAAGTATCACACACCAACTTCTCGGGGCTCCATTTCTCACTGCATACTACAATTATTATTTTTTAATTGTGAGTCCCAATGGTGGAAGTGCAAGCAGGGATTCTACAACTAAGTTTTTCTATTCTTTCTGTCGAACAAATTATGAGAACTTGCTACTTGTCATACTTTTGATATATCATCACCTTTATGCATCTTTATGCATTATGGGAATTTAATGCTTTCCTGTCTGTTGCACTCTTAGGAAAAATCTATCATCTGAACCTGGCATTTAATGGAAAGTGAGGGAGACTGTAGTATCCCACTGATGTTTTCCAAATCCAGATAGAATCTCCAAAGATGAATCTTTTTTAGGATTACAACAGAAGTGCATCAATTCTGATGATAGTAAGGTCACAACCATAAAAAAATATTATTGCCAGTTGTCTGACAGAAACAATTTGATTCAATAAAAACATGCATACGGTATTTAAAATGGGAATCTGATTTTATCAACCAAGTAAAGCATCATAATTCATAAAATACATTTATGTATATGCACACAAATACCCATCCATACACACACACAAACACACACCATAATTTTCCTATCTTATTATTGAGAAGATGAATGAATTCATAATGAAGAATCAGATTTCTCTGCTATTCTTATAGAATTCATTTCTACTTGCCTGGTAAGACAGACTGAGGTAACTGTGTAATGCATCCAGGTTTTCTATAAATTCATACAGATTTCCTCCCAGCGTTCTCAGCATATGGTCATAACCTGACTGTTTACAGAATTCAAAGAAATATTCTCCAAATTGTTTCAGAACCATATCTGGGGAAACATCTAAGAAAATAAATATATGTTACAATATTACATATTCATTTTTCAAGATTAGAAATCAGTTAATTCAGGTTAATTCAAAACACTTCCACATCACCACCATTATTGTCCCCCAATTCTTCAGAAGCAGTTTGATGCACACCCATAATTTACTTTTTCTGATCTCCAACACTGAAAACACAGGGAGGGAGCACATTATGCCAATTGGATATGTCATATGCACACAAACACATACCATACAGTACACACAGAGAGAGGGGAGGGTGAGATTTTCCTTTCAATCTATGTGCATTTGTTCAGTTGTTTGTCACAATTTCTCCATATCTGATATCAGAGGAAGCTTCTTTTCTGCCTCAATTTGCCTACATTGAAAACACATTGCTTTGTAATGTGAGAGAAAAATGACAGCATTTCAGGAACATGTAACTGGGTCCTATTCCGAATAGTTCTAGCTTGTAACAATGGTCAAGGGTTACAACAGGGTAAATGGGAACATACATAAAAAAATACTTCCACAAGATGATAGTGGTGTTAGTGGTGGCGGGGGTGGTGGTGATGATGAAGATGATGTTGATGATGATGATCAATAATGCCTTAGTGGCATTAATTCAAAATGATACATACCTAACATTTGGCATGCCGTGTCAATTAGTTGCATTGTGATTTCATCTTTATAAACTTCAAAAGTAAAAAAAGTATCCTGTACTCCAGTTTGGATTCTACAGAAAAAAGACAAAACAATATTGATTTCATATGGCAAGTTCTAAGTACTAAGTAACAACATAGACAATATTCAGTGTTATATACATCATTATCATAAACATAGGCAATATACACTAATGTACAGTATTATATTAATACTATTTATGAAATCATCAAAACAATGATGTCATAACCTAATTATTGATGACCCATTCATTACATAATGATAGAATATGTTTTTTTTTCAGAATCTACTATTCAGTATAATCAGTCTGTAGAATACAACTGTAGTATCAGTCAGAGGAATGTTTCTGTAAAAGCATTCTTCAACAAGCAAAAAGAAGGAGACAAGAGAGGTTTTTTTTAAAAAAAGAAAGAAAAAAATCCATTCTAACAGAATAAAAATTGGCAAGCCTGGAGAGAAAAGGTCTGGTACAGAGAAAGTGGCATTTGTAGGCTTCCCACCTCACCCCTCTTTGACGAACAATAAAACTTTGGGCCAATGCTCACATTTAGAATTCTGAAAGCTAAGCTGAACTCCCTGTTGGGAAATCCAACACGGAAGCATCAATTCAACAAAACAAGAAAGAGATAGTTAAGGCTAGTCATTATACAGAGTTTATTGAAGTGATCAATCTCATTAGCAGGCATTTCATGCGATTGTCAGAAAGTCTATTCCACTAGAGCTAGTCCTTGGTTAATGATGATAATTGGGGGCCAGAATTTCCATTGCTAAGCAATATGTTCATAACTTGCAACATCAAGTGATTGCACTTAACAGCAGCAACCCCAGCACTTCTGTTTGTCATTGTTAAGCAAGCATTGTGGGTCATTAAGTGAGCTCAGATGATTTACAAGCAGGTAACGTATGGTGTGAAGCATGGCATGAGAACAGTTGTGGCTGCTGCTGAGCGGGATTGGGTGTGAGTGACTTACTGGAGCAACTCACAACTTTCTCTGCTGGTTTCCCCATTGACAACCATGTGACTAAGTGCAGGCTGGTTGCCAAGGACCCAGATTGTGCTTTCAAGTGACTATAGGGCTGCTGGGATGGCTAGTATTTTGGGGACCAATTGTAAATACCACTAGTCCAGCACTGTTGTAACTTTGAACGGTTGTTGAGCCAGTTGTCAAAGGAAGACTACCTGTACATAATCATCTTCTCAGGATTCTTCACATATAGAACTGAAATTGCACCACTGTAAGAGTCTGTAAAAATTTCCCAAAGCAGAGAAGCAGTGAATCCTTCACATGCTTTATTTGAAACTACATAATTTGACTTATTGCTTCAAAATAGATTTCTACTTTAGTCTAGAACTGCAAATGTGCATTGAGAAAACAAAACAAAACAAAAAAGCAATGTTGTAAATATTGCCAAGGAGGGTGAGAAAGCAACCTTGGAGCCTGGGTTCCCTCATGGGCATTATTTCCTTTCCTCAACAAATCTGATTGTGAGGTATAAGAACACCGTATCTCAAAATCTAGAGTAATCAAATACAATAGTGGAGATATGGTAAACCAAATATGAGAGCCCAATTAAATCACCCAATTAAGAATGGTGAAGAAAATTAAGTTTAAACAGAATCCAGAATTTGAGGAGAAGCAGGAAATGAAGGAAGAAGAGGGGGGGTGAAATGGTAGAAATGGTGCAAAATAATAAGCAAATAAAAGATTTCACTGGGCTTGACAGTGGCATAGGAAAAATTGAAAAGTGGGGAGGTGTCCGAATAAAGGGAAATAAAAAGCAGAAAAAAGATTTCACTGAGTTTGACAGTGGCAAAGGGAAAACTGAAGAGGGGAGATATGTCCTAACAAAGGGAAATAAAAAGAAGACAAAATATTTCACTGGGCGTGACAGTGGCTTGGGGAAAATTGAAAAGGGTGGTCATGTCCCAACAAAGAAAAGGGAGGCGACAGAAATAGAAAATTGGGACAAAAGACTTGTTGGGGAAAATCTGATATTTAGAAATTGTTATGTGGAGAATATATAATTAAGGCATGTGATTTACACTTTTACATGATAATTAAACTGAGTTGCTAACTGATTGAACAAGATAATGGAAAGATAATTAAATAAAGGTTAAATATATGAAATATTCTTTTACATGATAATTAAACTGAGTTATTAATTGATTGAATATGATAATGGAAAGACAATTAAATATGGGTTAAAATATATGAAATATGGATGCATATAGAATTCTTAAGAAGATGAACAAAGTGAGGTGTGCATGGCTTGTTATTTTACGTAGCAGATCAATGGAATTGTAATGAACATTGAGCAGCAAGGATTATTTAAAGACAAATGTGAGCTAAGTTAAGATATGGAAAAATGGAGGGGGAACATGAAATATTCTTATAATGAGATTATAAAGACAGATTAAAAATTTGGTGTGGGTAGTGATGTATAACTATACAATATTATGATGAGAATAGCCGGGAATTGTAATCAGGTCTACATTTCAGCCAAAAATAAGTTGGGGGAGGGGGGTTAAAATATAATTGCTATATACACATTTTTCTTCATTGCTTAAAAAAGATGTCAAAATTAAAGTTGTTTATTGATGTGAAATTATAAATACCATCAACATAAAGTGGAGCTTGCTCAGAGGCTGAAATACACCAAGTAAATGAGATGAAGAGTGTGGAAGAGAGAAAAGAGGTAAGAGAAGAAGATAGAGTAAGGAGAGAGGGTAGGAGGGGGAGAGGAGGAGAGAAAGAAAGTGGAAAGGTGATGAGAAGGGAGGAAGGGGAAGTAGTGAAGAGAAGAATGACAGAGGGAAGAAAGGAGGTAGGAGGAGGAAGAGAGGGAAAAGAAAGTGATGGACAGGGTACAAATATGGTGTATGGAGTGAAGAAGACCCAATAATCATTTTTGGGGGTTGATGGTAAGACGAATTGATATTAATATTTAATAATATAAAATAATGTTGGTTATGTAACAGTATACATATGATTATTTGTTATGAAAATGAAAAAAAAACTTTATATAAAAAAAGATTGGTGAAGAGAGAAAGAAGAGAATTTCAAAATTGGTCACTTTGCAGCAGCTAAAAGCAATGCCTTCAGAAGTTCAGGGGGCATCCTAGAAGATTGTAGCTTACCATTTTCATTCTTAAGCTTATTTCTGCTTGTAAAGGATGTTACAAGCTGTTAAAAGTTGTAAAGGTTAAAATACAGTAGACATATCATGTCTGGCCTGAAAAAAATCCAAACAATCATGAAATGGTTGCAAAGAGATAAAGGAAAACTCCCATAACCAAGGTATGGTACTGGTTTTTTTTTTTAAGTAGTTAAAAATAAGATGGAGTTGAGGAATACGTGCCTTGCATTCTGGGTGGCAGAGGGAGAACAGATTCTCCTTGCACAATGGTCAAGAGAAGAAGAAGACATTTAGTATGACAGAGTCAGTAATAGGAGACCCTCATTGGTGTCAGGCCCATTGTTGCTGTAGTAGTGGCAGCCATGTGACATAATGCTTCCTTTTCTCTTACCTAGCCTCAATTATGATAGAGCAGCAGGGTTTACCATTTGAATATTGGCCATGAGACCCAGAAAACTCTACTTAACAGTCACTTCCAACATCTTTTGGAAGTGATTCTGTTCTGCATTCTTGTTTTAGTTTGCAAAATTAAATTGCTCTGCCTGGGGTGCCTTGAACCAAAGCAACAAGGCAGGAGGATTAGTTTTAACTGTACCCAGGAGTGGGCTTCAATTTTAGCAAGGGGTTCTCCGCCCAGGTGCTGGGTGGGCAGGGCCATGGTCTGTGTGGCCTAGTTGGCCTCTTGCACCACAGCGGGGAGGAGGGGCGTTTTTGCCCTCCCCGGGTTGTGGATGTTTTTCTTGAGCTTCCAGGTGGGCGAAAATGGCCTTCCCAGGCTCCGGAAGCCCTTCCCGAACTTATGGTAGGCCCATTTTACACCCTCCCCAAGCCTTCGCGCATGCCCTGCACTTGCCTGCATCCAAAACAAGCCGTGTGGGGATTTCTGGAAGGAGCGAGATGAGGTGAGGTGAGCAGGATGGGGCCAGCCAGGAGCGGGACTTGGGGGTTCTCCGAATCATAGCTAGAGATTCTCCCAAACCACTGTGAACCAACAACAGTCCATCTCTGGTACTTTGACTTGGTTGAAAAAGAGTTGGTTTGGGGTTTTTTTTGCTTCTGAATTGAAGCAGGACGACTGGTCCAATCTAGTGCTTCAAAGGTAACAAAGTTCAGCATTTCCCTTCAGAAGACCACTTCATTCAAAATTTTATCAAAGGACCCATCAAAGCTCAGTTCAGGCATATTAATAATAGATTAATTACTGA